TGGGGATATTTTCATACTACATTCTTTTGGTCTAGCGTGGTGATCTTCATGTCAGTTCACTCCTTAATGTTTTGCACCATCTACTGATGGTGAATGTGGCGGTACTGCCCACGAATATACTTACATTCCAAGAAAAAGTTTCAGGTCTATGAACCAAGAACTGTCACTAAGCTACCAAAAAGTATATTGTAAAAATATCCGATGATTTCACAACATATTCTTTTCGTCCCCAATTCGCACGAAATATTGATTATTAATTCATAAACTAAGAAATAAAATGTCACATAATCTAAAGTTCTAATATATTCTTTTAAAGTTCTCAATCCTGAGGTTTACGTTTACGCTCAAACGTGCGCTAAAACACTACAAACACTTATTTACGTCTAGCTTTATATACTGCCCATTTTTCGATATGTTTCTTTTGATTATGAGTAGCTTTGAACGAGATTTGACTGTCCTTTTCTTGTGTATCGAAATTGATGTGTAGTATAGAGTAGCGGTTGACTATGATCACCACTACAGGAAGACTACGTGCCGGTTAACCGATAAGACCTCCCGTAAACTAAATATCAGAAAGCAGTTGATGGCTGTAGTCAAGATGTATTCGTTGGCAACCTCGTGGTATCGAAAAATACCGAGATCGTGCTAGGTTACAAGTGCGGTTACTGGGCGTAACCAAATTCGTGTAAGGTCACAATCAACTTAAGAATGTATGCATTTTGGTACAGTTAAATAAACAAGTACAGTAAAACAATCCGTGGTATATTTGGTTATAATAATAATTGCTTCCATCACACCAATCGCGTTCTCTCGATAAACGTAGGTCACTACAAATGTTAGACGATTTTGAATACAGTCTACAATACGAAATCCTGGTGGTTGATAGCTCATCATCCCAGTACTCTAACTTCAACATTTTCAAACTCTGGCTCTTAATCCGAACATCTTGACACTTGCGCCTAAACATACAACAGATTTTTCACAAAAATTTTACTGTGTAGTCCGTTTGGAATGTGAAATGTAATTCATATCATGATTTTCAGTAAGAGGCTGTCCTCAGTAGCGCCTTAAAGTCACGATAATATTTGAGATAAGACTATCATTTATGAGCAGATCATTGAAATTAAAGATGACATATTTTGAATTTTCGCGAAAAATCCATTCATATGTCTAAATAGCATCTTTGTATCACATCTGATGTCAGTTAGTAACAATAACTTTTTTCCTAATCTTTTTTACCTTATTCTCTGATTCGAGATTCATATCCTAACTTTTGAGACCTATTCACATCCATCTTCTCACTCTATTATGTTGAGTCTTACAAGGGTCGCTCTAGAACCGCTCAAAGGTTGTCTGGCTGGTGTTACGTGTTGAACTATCTGGTTCTTGTTTCGATCCAAAGAATACCTTTTTATGAGAAACGCGTTATTTCTGATTATCGTCGAATAGTCCGTTATTAAATGTAAGTTCATTGTGTGAGCTTGCTGGGTCATCGACTCTCACTGTCTTTCGTTATTTTTCTACTCCTCAATCAAGCTACTCTTGATGCTACCCTAAAACACAAAGTATTTTTTGAATAGACGCGAACCGCCACACTGCCGATGTTGTATGGTTTTAAATGCAACAACAGTTATTGGAATTAATGATTTTAGAACAAGTTTGCATTATAGTGCAGGAAATTGATACGTTTTGTTGCGAATTCTTCCCATGGGTATAAATAGTGTTCTCAACTCTTCTTTTAAGTTTTATAAGTTTTGTTAGATCGGATCACAATTAAAAAGACATAGGTGACGTACATGATTTGAATATATTTGGTAAAGGATGTTGGCCAGGACGTTTCTAGTCGCTTCTAAATAATCCCGCTTTACATAGTGTGCTGTACATATATCAGGTGATTTATTATTTAGATGCGAAAAAAGATTACTCGTCGTGGTTGCATGCGAATATAATAAGTTAAATTAATTGAAACCATTCTCCCTATTTTGGGGCTTTCCCCAAACTTTGCGGAAATTTTGAGGCTCTTGAGCACAATAGTGCTGAAGTTAAATAAATCATTCACATTGCAACTAATAATGCTATCACTCATATTTGTCTTATTCCTGTCACTATGATTAAAGTTAAGAATCTTAATATATGGGACCGCACAAATCGTGTGGAATTGCACTATCAGCTTTGTCATGACTGCATCGATGCAGACGAATTTCAACCGCCTCATCCGTTTACACATTTTGTTTCAGATATAGACTTACATATTTTAGTTCGATCCTATCTAGTCAATGTAGCATTCATCTAGAATTAACCCTGAAGATGTAATTATTCAGTTTCATCCCTCATGTAGGTATTTTGTTTGCACTAGTTCCGCGTGAGAAAGATAAAAACAGGTGAAAGAGGACTACTGGAATGAAGTATGCTTTGGTCATGAACAAGTTGAACGAAGTTACTCTCGGTTGTATATAGACAACTGAGGTTTTCCGTGTCTGTCATGTGTGGATTTCTTGAAATCGACTCAACATTGTGAACACAGTGCCCCATAGACTTCTGCTTGATGTTAGTCATGTAGATTGTATCCGAATATTTGTTTTGTTTTTGCACCTTCGACGTGCAAAGTACTTCTACAAGACTGGCAGGATTCCAATCCTGTACTCACCCTGGATGGTGAGCAGATAGACGTAGTCGAGAAGTTCGTGTATCTGGGTAGCTGCATAAGTGCTGGTGGCGGTGTGAGTGATGAGATCAATGCACGTATAGTGAAAGCCAGAGTGGCTTATGCCAATCTGGGCCATCTTTGGCGCCTTCGTGATGTTGGTCTGGCTGTAAATGGTCGAATCTACAACGCGTCGGTGAGAGCAGTTCTGCTCTATGCTTGTGAAACCTGGTCTCTTCGAGTTGATGACGTTAGACGACTCTCTGTGTTCGCTCATCGCTGTCTTCGAAGGATTGCTGACATCCAGTGGTAGCACCATGTCAGTAATGCAGAGGTTCTGTATCGTGTGTTCGGGCACAGAGATGATAATTCAATTGTTGTCACCATCTTGAAACACCGACTTCGGTGGCTAGGACATGTTCTACGAATGTCGTCCCAGAGAATTCCACGTCGTGCATTACTTGCCGACTTTGGGACTGGTTGGAAGAAGCGGAGAGGTGGTCAGTGTATGACATGATGTCGTGGTATGAAAGAAAGCTACAAAGGGCTAACTGGTGTTGGTCCTTCACGACTCCCTGGCTGTAGTCTAAGAGATGGTGCGACTCAGGGACTAGAGACTTTATCAGATATGGCTCAGAATAGAAGCCAGTGGCGATCCTGCTGTAAATTTCTTTAACTTTATTCATAAAAAGTGGTTGTGTCTCCCTTACCTGAAAGATTTCTTCTGATTGTACCTTTCCGTTCCCTCATTACTACCACACTACTTTACACCAATCTCTTCGTTATTGTTCTCTTTTTTTTTTTTTGCGCTCCTTAGCTTTTTTTTCTATTTCTCTTCGAATTCTCATTGTTTTGTGTGGCGCATATATATTGGCGCTCTCTTGTACCAATATTCATGTGTTCATAAATAATAAAGATCTTTAATTTTTATTACAACATAACCTGCCTACTTGACCTGGTAGTATCTCAAGAAACAATGTTCCTGCCTTAATACTGTCAACAGGATAGACCATCAAGTCAAAACTCTAGTTGCGGTCGTAATCTAGACGTCGATTCTAAATATTTCTGAAATGCTCTTAGTGCTCAAGAAGTAACATTGGCCTCGAAACGTTAAGCAACTATAGCTCTAAACTAGTGTTGACCACAGTTCAAGAACTCAATTTTATTACTAATTGTTATCAGGAGCTATCTGTAAGAAGTTTGTTGTTGTTGGTGTTATTTTTTGTTAGTTAATGGTTTTGAAGTTGCTTAAACGCATGGATTATGTACTTCTGAAACAAGTTAATTAAACTATTCTACTGCTAAATCCGACCTGCGTCCCGTGTTCTTCAGCTTAATACTGAGACCACTAGTAAGTAAAACATTTGAAGCTTTGTCAGTCGTGTCAAAATATGGCAAAGCTCGATTTTAATCGTCTGGTCTTGAGTTTACAGCTTTATCGTTTACATTAAAACTTCGAGCTAACTACGGAATTGGACAAAATTGTTAGGCCTACATGTAAGTCTTGTTTTCTGTTTCAGTAATGCTACACTTTTCAGTTTGTGAGCAATTCGGATTTTCCAAATATCCAGTAAAATGTATGACAAATTTTTATATCAGTTTACTTCTATGGGGGGTTTCTAAGCTGATTTACTTTACTTTTAGGTTATTTCTAACGATGGGAAGGCTCTTCAGAAATTTTTGTGTCTAGGTCTTCATGACATCAAGTTCCTGGTCTCGAACATCCGAAGATGCACTTCAAAATCTCTTCCATTTTTTATGCACAGTCGTTTTATTGATGACCTAAACGTCAATGTCGATCCACTGATTCATAGAATTAATTCTGACTTGTTAGTAAAATCGAGTCTAACTTATCCGGATTATTATTATGAATGATAATGTGTTCATGTACTCCTTTGTAAGGCTTTAACAAACTAATAATTTAAAACCGGCTCTGATGTATCTTGACTCAAAAAATTCTTGAAAAACGTTTCGGATACATTATATTTCAAGTCAGTTGATAACTATAGGGAATATCATTCACAACAGATTTTAACTCAGACCAATGACTCGACTGTGTAATTGATCTCTATTTTGTGGTCACTAACATTTTCAATCAAAAAGCAGTTCAGAACGAGTCTCCTAGCAAAACAGTTCCATTATTCTAGTATCTTGTTCTCATACTAGTTGTTTTGGTTGCAAGAATGAATCAATTTTACTTTACGTGATTCTTGTACTCCTTTCAGGTTGATTTTCGACAATTATACTTAAAATTAAAGAACTTCTATCAACACTCGAAGCTGTACACACGTTGATCGCCAATGTATGTTAGAATTTTGCAGTAACTTTTTGAATAGGCTATCCTTTATTGGTACAGATTGGACGTTGTCTCTGTTACATGCTGGTTCTTATCTGAATATTGATGATATTTTGGCATCTAATGAACGCACGTCATGTCGCGTTCGTGTACTACTTCCATCTCTGTCACCACTGCTACTTTCAGATGTCAAAGATAAAATGCATGGTGAAGGCACCAATGATGGTTACAAAGCGTCAGATGACGTCCCAGCAGGGAAAAGAATTGAGCTACCAGTTTGGCTAGCTGTCGCTATTGGTAGCGGCAGAAGACAAATACTGAGCATCGACTTACCTCCAATTTACCGGGTATAGTAGTAATTTTTTGTCTGTAACACTTAGGATGCCTTTACTGAAGTATTCGAAGCAGATCCTTGTGTAGTTGACCTCAAAAGAAAAGGGTCTATGTATTATATGTTATTATGCAACTTATTGATGTCGGGTCATGTTCGAGTCCCACAAATCGTTGCTACTGGCACTAAGGTTTTTCAAGTAAGTCACTTTGTATTTTTAAAATTGTACCTTATTCGAACAAGTGAATGACTGTATAAAAATTAAATTTCGCACCAAAGCTAATAGTTTGACTTCCTTTGCTTCACTGTAGTGAAAAAACGAAATTTAATAAACATGTAGAGATATTAAAGGAAATAAGACATGACTCGAAAAGAGAATAAACAATGAAAAGCAAAAATGGCTTTAAACAATCACTTAGTATTCTGAAGGGAATTGGCAGTTTGTACGTAAGAATACGCAGTAACAAAAAATAACTAAAATCTGATTTTTGAGTACATGGTTTGAAAAAGTTTGTATTCTCTTAGTTAGATGGCCTATTTATGAAATTATTTTGGTTCTGAAAATAATCATCAAGACCACTAAAAGTATCTACATAAGCTACATCTCTCTATTGCTTACAATTCAGCAAACTATTTCGCCTTTTTGTAGTTGTGCTAAAAGCAAAATCTAGATTCTCGTTATAAATATGCCTAAATGCCTTACAGCACATAGTTTTGAACTGTGTATAGTTCTCAATCAATTTTTCAGGTTGTACCGATGATTTCCTATGAAATCTACTAAAACAGATTGGTTTCCAACAATATAGTTTTACATGAATCAGGAACTCTAGATGTCCTTATTGTAGTCGTTTCACTACCTACATTTGCTTATCGTATGCATTTTTCACTAGTCCTCTTGCTCGTAGTCTTACTCTTTATTAGCTGTTGTGCTTTGGTATAATCCGTATTACTTAGTGCCGTGTAATTATTTAATTTTGATGAAATTTAAAAGTTATGGTTTGTATCTATCTCTTACATGTTGGTTGCCTTTCCTACATCTACTTGTCCTTACATTTACTTGATAGAAAAATATATTGAGCTTTACGCAGATAAAACTCTAAACCTTTTTATATAAATGATTTCGAAGCAGTCAGGGTTTTCTAGGTAATTTTAGTGATGAATGGAAAATTATTTCTGTTCAGAAGCAGTTAAAAGAAATTAGGACTGTAATTGTTGAATTTTTATTTAAATTTACCTGGACAAAGATAAAGATAGCCGATTTTTCTTAACAATAATTTAATGTTCCTCACTTTTATTGCTGAGCATAAGGGTACCTTTGTGGTTAAAACACTTGACTTTCAGCCGTCCGGTTTTAGGTTAAAGTCCTGTTCTACTTCAATTTTTTGAAGTAGGATTGTGTTACTAGCCCTGACACAATGTGTTCCTAAGTAATATATGATAACCAAGTTATCACTATCACTTTTATAACAGCTACGAGTTTATGTATATTTTTTATCTCAATCATCATTAGTCACGATTAAAGATGATTATGGATGCCTCACTCAATGCTTCTCGACAGGATACTTTGTCATCTACAGCTAAGTAAGTTCTAGTATTTAAAGTATTCTTTAATGTTAAAGATAGCAGAAAATCTCAGCACATATCAAACATCCTAAAATAATTATATGGAATCCATTGTACTCTACACTACATAAACTCGATCAGCAATCATGGGTAAAGCCAAAACTATTAACGATTAGTCCTTAATTCGATAAATAATCCAATAAATTTAAAGAATTAGTCGGAATACATGTGCTTTAATAAATACGAAGCATAAATTCGGTGATTAAGACTGCATAAACATTCTTTTGGATCTTTTATCAGAGATACAGAAGACTCCTAAGACTACTGTTACTTATTTTTCAACTGTTCTTGGGTGTCATCTACCCGACTTTATATAAATCACACTACATTTTTTATAGTAGTTTGGTGGTATTTTTAACTAACTTGTTTCTAGAAGGCTCCCTTTATTGTGTATTTACAGAGCAAATCATTTACATATAAGGTTAGGATTGGAAGTCAGTTCATTGTGTTGTCTGACTTCAGTATATAGATAATTTATTACTACTATATTTCGAATAAACAAATTTGTAGTAAATAAAACCCATTTATCTTTAGAAACTTTATTTAGTATGTGTTTCGAAACTTTCTTCCCATGTACAGGAGGTGCATTGAATTTTGCAGAGCTACGCTACCTGTAACAATCTGTTTATCATTAACAGAGTTCACTGTACGACAGTGTTCCTCATTTTTAATTCCACTTATGATATTGTGCAACAATCACTCTGTCATTTTTCGCTCCTTTAAATGAAACAGCTATCCTGCACCCATTAATTTTAAGCGGTTCTAAGTCCAAATTGTGTAAGATCTCTACAAATTGATGTTACTGGTTAATAAACAATTTTGTATTTTACTAAGTCTTCACTTCCTGATGCTTTATACAGATCAGCATTTTTATAAAGATTAGAAATGAGTTAATTTGGTCATGGTTACCTGGGTTGAAAGAATGAATTTTTTTATAATGAAAATTGGTTTTAAGATTTTCCATGACCATATTGAAATTAAACGTTTTGTTTTTAGCGTTTTTCTGGATCATAATTTTTTATCATTGCATTAAATACCTTAATTTGCACATCTGTTTGTTACTTCACTATATATTCATTTCATTTTCAATGTAATTTTTCGCACACTTTTTTGTTTATCAACTAATCAATTGACCATTTTAGATTCGACTCCTTGGAATTTGCATTATTTCGGATAGGTCAAACAGACAGATTACAATTCGAACGTTGGATTTCACGCCATCATGAAAAGATTGAAGCTTTAAAGAAAGTTCGACCTGTATTTGTGAAATAGAATCAATAGATTAATTTATTATTCAAAACTCATTTCATTCAAAGAAATATTCTTGTAGCTTTTAGTCTTACGATCTTTATATATTATACACAATTATTTATGAAACATTTTTTTCGAATTTTATTAATTTTAACTATTTATAAAATAATGTGGTTCTTTGTAACTACTATTTTTAATGATTATTTTACAATGAAAGCTTACTTTTTTCAAATTTCAGATGGTCGAAATTATTATTCATGATGAGTTATTTTTCTACCATTTATGTCTTATGATAATCTAAATAGTTCCAATCTATCCAGGAAAAAATTTTTTCAAAGTCGGTCGCTTGTTTCTATTTTGGATGTAATAACATCAGTTCAAAGAAATTTCAAACGATGTTTTTAGGTTTATCGAAGCGTTTTATTAGCTTGGATATTCCATATCTAACCAGGAAATCGCGCGTTTACGTTTGACCGCACATATCATCCGTGGACCGAATTAATTGGATTTGTGGAAAGCTCTTAGGTCTCCTTTCTCTAGATTCCGTACGAAACAGAACTGCTAGTGTTGTGAATTATATTTCTGTTTATTATTTATTTAAAACACATAAACATTGGTACAAGGAGACACCAAATGAATATGCGCCACATAAATTATTCGATTTGTGTGAGGGCTAGGATACTGCCCGGGTGTCCCAAACGAAGCAGGTGGTTTTCTTAGGGATCCACACCCGGAGCCTTTGACCTAAAGATCTAATCCACAAGGCAGTGGAGTAATGTTAGGAGATGCAGTCCCATGGTAGTCGGTGACCAACGATTGGTTCATACGCCATTTGTTGCTTCAAGGTACTAGAGCCCTGGGGCACCATTGGTTTAGAATCAGGGTTTTCCAACTCTTCTAGGTGACCTCTCCATGTCCACCGACCCGGTTAAAGCACCGGACATTCACTTTTCGTCCTCTCAATTTCGTAAACAACACCCCCGCCACGAGAAAGCTATGAGTAGGACTTCCCTGGCGGAGGCTATATACGCGTGGCCATGTGGGAGTATTTTGAGAGGGAGAGCTGACTCTCCCCACCCTCGGCCGTACCAGGACATTGGGGGGCAATCGTGTTTCTAGGCATACATCACCAATACATATCTTAACACTTAAGAAATCAATAGTTCTGTACAAAAGGTTTTATTAGCGTCGTCGACTATTCTGAGCTAGGGTTGGATTGAGAAACATTTTTTAGTCATGAATTATAAATGGCACCAAACATTTCTATCTAATTCAAAATTACCGTCCATTTCATTTAGTGATTAACTAAATTTTGGAAATAGTAAGCGGCTTTCACAAATAATTAGGATGCGCAACTATAGTAATGAAATGTATATTTCATCTTTCAAACAACTGCAAGATAGTCAGATACTTTCACTTCATTTGTACGAATAATTTAGCATGAATAACAGTTATTCTTTTTGGGCTTATGTCCTATATTTTACACGACGTTTATGTCAAAGATGCGATTATGAAAATCACTAAAGTTCTGACTGCACTGGGGATTGATAATTTCAAAAGGTAGGACCATCTGGTATTGTGTGAGTGATAATACCACTATTCGTCTGAAATGAATATACTTGATTATTTCAATTACATTTTTGTCTTGATGAAAATATAAAGTTATAAGTTCAGATTTTTGTATAGTATAAAGTTGGATGATCTAGAATTACGTACTGGATCTTGACTCACGTACTGCTTAGTTTCTTACTCGCTCGATCACCTGATTGTTCTTTGTTCAATAACTGACGGAGTTATGATCGACTGAAAGATCCACAGCTAGAGAAACCAATGTTGAATACTCAACTTCCATAAACGATGTTTGGGTTTATTTCTATTTAAAAAAAATTTAGCTACTATGGCAACCTGAATCGACTTAATGTTTTACATAGAAACCAGATAGGGAATAATCATTTATTTAACAATTTCATTTTAGGCCATCAAATACTTCCCTCCTTGTATGAAATAATATTGCAGATTTTGCTAGAAGTTTAGGTTGATGACATGGTTCTACGGTTGTTACATGTCGGGATAATTTAGGTTTCTCATTCTCGTTCATACCATAGTACTTCACCATGACCAATATATCATTAGATACTAACCTGATTCTTGAGAATTATGCTTTATAGTCTTGAAAGTTAACTGGATTGTATCCATCAAGTTTACAAAGTCACCACTCAGTCAAGTAAGCCGATATGTCAGTATATTATCTTTTATCCTGGGTACTGATTTCAGTGAAATGTTACTGAACAAGAATAAATAAGTGGTTAATTGAGATTGTAATAAGTAGTTATAGACGTAAGTAGAGACGTCACTTTAATATGCCATGAAGACTACTCTATTTTCTGTTTAATAATGTGTAGGATGATAAGTAATTTGACAATGGGAAAAACCAATCGTATAGTCTGATTTATGTTTTGTGGTAAATTAATTAACTGTTGATCTGATGAAATAAATTTCTGCTTACTAATTAGCTGGACACTAGAAGGTATGAAGTTAGTCAATTAGACTGCACCTCAATTAATTATGTCTTCTGATTTTCTCTAAATCTGTCCCATGTATGTGATTAGTTCCTAGCGATCACAATATTTCAACGTTTAAGACTTGGTTTGTAATCAGGTGGAGGTATGTCTTGTGCAGTGAAATATTAAACCTATATGATTTTGTACTAAGATCTATTGAGAAGAACAACCTAATCTCAGAATTTATTCAGTATGACTCAGTGTTATGTGAATCATATATCTATTCAGTTGGTAATTAGTGGATCAGCTCCCTAACTAACGCAACTAAGGTTGAAGACGAGCACGTGGTACTCGGTGCGCGCTATGAATACACTTCATTTGCATATGTAGGCCAAAAGAAGGGTTAATAGTGTCTTCGTTTACATTTTGTGCAGCTTGGTTTTCATTTCTAACTGATCCCGTCTGGGAAAATGTTAAAAATAAAAAACTATTGAACAGCCATTTCTTTCTAGTTTGAGGTTTCCTCAGTAGTGCGTACCTACAACTCTACACTAGATTAAACCTTGGATATTAAAGTTTCACAGTTAGTGCGATACCTATCAGTCATTTGATAAGTCATATGGTTTATGTTTATAACCTCATCCAATTTGCAATACAACAGTATCCTTTTTCAGTTCCATTGATTGGTTAGTGACTTAGTTGATTATATAATGTGCAAAAGTTAACTATGAATATTAAAAACCAATAAAAAAACATATCTTTGTGAAATTCCCAACGTTTCCTTTGCCTCATTCTTCGTTGTTGAATCCCGAGGTTTAATAATCCTCCTAATTCCAACTGCTATGTCAATTGACATTGATGTTACCAAACCAGGCTTGTAAACGTTCAACCATGGGAGAACTGAGAGTAGGAAGTCAACCACCCCTTTTCGACCAGGTTTTCTCATAGTTTTTTAACTAGCACTGCCTACTTTCAACAAGTCGAACCTGTAAACTCTAACGTTAACGGTACCAGAACTTTAACCGACTACGGTGAAAACCCATGCTATGAACAATGATTAACATGACAAACGTTCGACGGAAATCTTTGAAAACCACAAATTTAACTTGAAATTATAGTTAGAAGTATGTTTTCCAGAAATTTGCTGGCTAACTGGATCAACAAAACTATGAAACAAATAATACATTAGTAGAAATAATATTCTTTTCTATTCATTGGGATATTACAAATATACTGTTTTTGCAGAATCGTTAGAAAACTAGCACACTAAAACACTAGCAACTAAAACGAACTGAACGAAACAAAAAATTGACTGTCCACAAGATTTCGTCAAGAAATATTTATCAAATTGACTAGCGAATAGAAAATTACCCCTTAAAAATCACCAAACGGACAATTTTGCTCCAGATGGAGAATTTCTCAGAAATGACAATCAGGTCACTAAGGCCCCGAAGAATTAATGTCACCCATAAACCAACAAACTCGTTGTACTCAATACTATATAAACCAGCAAACATAACGAAGACAAGCCGAAAAACATGTATTCATTAAACTTCGCTAAATTTCCATAAAAATTACATAGGAAAAAGTGGCCTTCCTCTCCGCCAACGTTTACATGAATACCAGTTAGCTGTCGCACGCTAGAACACAGCTTCACTTATATCAATTCATTTGAACGGTCGTGGATATGAATCTGATTGAGACAACGCCAGAATATCTGATAGAGGGGACATGAAAGAACCTAGAGGATTTTTAAAAGCTTGGGACTCCGGTAAAACATAGATTATGAAATATATCGAAACTAGCTATATCTGTCAGCCATCGAAAAAAAGATTAACAACGTCGTGGCCAGAAACTAGGTCAGTAGAGGAAACAGTGAAGACAATATAGCAAACAACAGTGGTACATATATGGACAAAAATGAATCAAATTCCAGGTCGATAAATCAAGCTGTTGATCAGTTGAAGAGAAATTCAAATAACTCATTCTTCACAGAAGTTCGCTTTGATGATGCTTCCCTGAAGGAAAGTGAGAGTTTTAGAGTTAAACCATCCAGGTCAGAGGAAACAACACTTCTAAAATCCTCATTCTGAGCTGTAAGTCTTTTCCATTACAGTTTTATTTGTAGAATACGACTTAATCTTATAAATAGTGTGCACATGTGACTTCGAACAGCTGGGTCATATAAGTATTATTCCTGTAAACTTTGCACTCAACAAAACTTTATTCAGCCCCTTTGTTCGAGGTAGATGTTATTTTGACGGTTATGATACTTAAATAGTACTTGCCTTATATTTACCATATTGTTTTTTTCTTCTTATAGTACATCATCAATAATTTTTCATTGCAATTATATCGACTAACCTAACGACTTGGAATCAGTAGACTAATCTTATAAATAAACCTATTGAAACAACCGCTCTTCAATAATAACATATTCATTACAGCCGACCTTTCGAAATTGCAGTATTTGTTCTGAGTTACTGTAACCGAATCGTCTTTATTTAGTCCTCAGTCTTA